TTATTAAAACGATCGTCCTGGGAGCAAAGTTTCGCGCTCACAGCTTCTCCATACGCAAAGCCCTTCTTAACGCTGAGAGGGTAAAATGAGGAGAAATGCGTATTTTGAAACCTTTCTGTCGGCTTAAAAGGTCTTAAAATGTGTTTGAATGAATCTTGGTCCTTTAAAAACTCCAGTGTCAAGGAAAACAATCTGTTTTGATTACAGCTCGAGTGTAAAATTTATTGTTGTGCGGAAAGAGTTCACGAACCAATCTATAAAGTTGTTGATTTTGGTTTCAGGAAGAGTCCACACTGGGAATATGCCTAAATCTCTTACAGAGAAATGGTCTGTAAGGGCTCGCATGTAGTAGTTGTTTATCAAAGTGAGCCATGAAAATGACCGAGAAAGCACAAACCGCCATTTTGGTGCCCATTGCAAGTGCCGTGTGTCTGTACGTAGTGTTTGCCGTTGAATTTGAATTAGTTTTCTCCTAAGATAAGTCGCATTACGTCCTCCAAATATGAAGTAGGGATAGGTAAATTTGACTGATAATGCTCTTCGTAATGGTGACAAACTATTTCGATTTCCCCCTCTTGGGGAATGTTAGTGCAGAGAGAACACATGTCCAACGTAGCTCAAATTGCTTCACCTGGAAGTGGCGTGTTTTCAATGAAAGTGTATAAAGTGTGTAGCTAGTGTCCTTGATGTAAGACTGTTGTTTTTGCGCGATTGGTCTTTTAAAAGCGAGTGCGAGTGCGATCTGTGGCGGCCACCGCTACCAGAGAGTACGATTGGTCTGCCGACAGGAAGAGTTTTATGTATTTTGGTCATCGTGAAAAACTTTGGTATTCTTGGTGATTTTGGCCTAAACTGAGCCACTTGTAAGTCCTTTTTCATTTCATTATAATTGTTATGACTTTTGTGGCTGTTTCGGATACAATCGGTCTTGCTATTTAAACAGGTCTTAGGAAGACGCTACGGCAACCATTGATTGTTAGAACGTGAACATCACATTGAAGGGGTTATACACGGTTAGGTTCGAGTGACGATATTATTAGACTAAAACATAGACTTGCCCACAAGTCGAGCTCAATTTTTTTTCCCGAGCGCGAAGCGCGAGCGGTAGATTTTTTAAGTTTTTTGCGGCAAGTGAGCGAGAGAGCGAGAAACGGAAATGAGAAGCGAAGGACTTTGAGAAAGTCCGTGTTTTATACATTCCGTGGTCCGCAGCCCGCAGTCCACAGTCCCTCTTTTATACTGCCGATCTGAAACGCCTTACCCTGCGTAGGGTAATTGCGTACAGTAATGCTGCAAGGTTACAACAAAAGCATACTTACCAGTGAAAAAAACTTCAGCTCATTTCCTTGAAAACGTCTCGGCCATGATACAAGCAGGCCTTAGATTGCCGTTGGCGTAGCAGTTCCCCTAGAGACAGCTCCACGAAGACACGGAACACTCCCAACCTCGTCCCCAGGGTCTTCTGGAAAGCGAGAAGACCCTGGGGACGAGGTTGGGAACACCCCTTCACTTCAAGACGACCGCCATCCTGTTTGCAGTCGTGCCACTTCCGGTTTTACCTTCCCGGCTTCCATAACAGGTACTTTTGGTCGGTTGGCAGTTTTGTTTATCGTAAATACGAAAATGAAAAAACCATTTTATTTTTGGATTTCACCCGGCAGTAACACCGTTTGTTGCAGTTTGTTACACATGAATTGCTTTGTTAAGTTTGAATTTTTGATAGCTTGAATCTTGGGAAGAGGAAATTGAAAACAAAAAGTTAAAACCACTAACTGGCCATTTTCAATTTTTAGTTTTTGATTTTCAAAATATTGAAGAATGATGTTTAATTTTACCTTTCTTGGCAACAAACATTGAAAATTGAGATTGTAAATTTTTGATTTTCAATTTTTGAGGAATCAAACATTGAAAATAACGATTGTCAAGTTTTGATTTTCAATTTTCAATATTGAGTAAAATTCAAATGGACGAAAACCACACGGACCTACCTTCCAGTTACATTGTGAAATTTCTAGTATTTTGGACACTACTCAAGACTTGTATAAATTCAGTGATAAAATTTTAAATAGCAGTGGCTAACATAGGCTCACTTGTTGTGCTGCCTCTTTTGAACTTATTGGGTCAAAGAGCATGTTTACAATTTGAGCAATCACCTTGTAATCACAACCAATAATGTAACCGCGTACACCTACCTTTTGGCCAACATACACTGAGTATAGACCAGTCCGTGTTTCTCCTTGCTTGTGATTTAAGAACACTAGCTTTAACATACATAACGCCAGCAGAAAGTTCTCTACACCCAGTCACTTTCAAGGACATTACTCTTTCTCGACGGGAATAATCCAGCTGAGCCTTTCAGTACTGCTTTTTTGTTTTAATTTCCTCCAGCATGCTTAGGATACGAACGGTACGTACACGATTACATCTTCTGTGTCTTGCCAATGATCCTCTACTTTACAGATGCGGGTCGAATTAAACAGAGGGTCCTGTGCTGTAGAAAATCTACAATCTTCTTTGGTCCGAGCGACCTTTTCATCGAACAATTGCTTGCACTTGCTGAGTACCCGGCTCTACTCAGATTGATCAAGCTCTTTCTTCTCGCCGAATAAGTTTAGCTTCAGGGCATTGCACAAATACAGGCAGCCTTTCCTTGCTACGTTTAGGCAGATTTTCCGAGCGAATATTGATCAATCATTTCTTTAAAAATATAAGCTTTCTTTCGAGTTTTTACTCTGACCATCGGCCATTTTGAAACTGGACGCTTAAAAAAGTTGGGGAAAATCTGGTAGTGCCAGGCACCCGCGCGGTTTGAAATGAAGTAATTGCTATTGCTCAGTAGGAACGATAACATATTCATGTTAAGTCATCAAGAGTTGAAAACATAAGATACAAAATCTGGAAAGTCAAGAAAAATAGCTAGAAATATCAATAAGCTTGTGGTATGTACTCTTTACATGCCCTTGATTTACCTATCTGTTTGGAAGACGACTAGCCTGCGTAGCAAGCGTTTCCTCGTGGTTTCGGGGCAAAGAAAGACCAAGGAACGGAACGGGATTTTCGGTTGTGGCCGCGCGAAGAATGGAACGAGAGCCTCCGCGCTTTTTTACTCGTACCATTTTCGGCGGATTTTTAGCGCTTTGTTTGACTCTCGGCGTTCCTCGTTCTTTGCTCCAAAACCGCACGGAAAGGTTTGCTACGCAGGCCAGAAGACAATATGAATTTACCCCCGCCGCGTAGACGTTACACAGTTAATGTCAGATCCCGAGGGAAACAGTTTTGTTTTCCCGTGAGTCCTGATGTTCCCCGAGACGAAGTCGAGGGAAACATCAGAATTCTCGGGAAAACAAAACTAACTGTTTCTCTCGGGATCTAACATTAAGTCTTTTGTGATATTTCTAGACTTTCACTTCAACAGCAACAAACGAATAACCGGAGCTAATCAAAACAGAAACTCGACTCGGTACTTATAAGAACACAAATTTAATTCTCAAAACCACTGAATGAATGATTTACAAAGTACTTTCCCTATATTAGCTGCACCTTTTTCCTCCACTAGAAGTTGTTTCTCTTCAGGTATAACTTTGAAAATCGTTGCTTTTAAGCTTGAGGCTTTGTTTTTGTGTTGTTGTGTTCATCCCTGAAAGCGAGAACAGGCAGTGTTTTTCCCTCCTTTTTTGTTGGAGCCCCGTGTTGCAACCCTAAGACCATTTGCGACTCTGCAATCAGTAAAGCAACAAACGCAATGTGGTGGAGACGTAGAGTCAATTCCGTGAAGATTAGGTAGCCTCCGTGAGTCGCACTATAAGACGTATATTGTTTATACTTATCCGAGACTAGATTTAATTCACGTGGTACAAGATTGGTCATATCCATAGAAATGTCATATCCATTAGTAGCGCTCCCGCGTCCAATTTCATGGTACTTTCTTTTGGCAAAACGGTCAAATATTCTCTTTGCTAAATGCTTACAGTTATTGATGCCAATGTTGTATTTACTTTTTACGTCATTTTTTTTCGAAGAGAAATTGTATTGAATCCTTCATGGATCCACATCCGAAATCAGAACTAGCTCGACATAACGGTTTAATTCTTGGATTTCCCTGGACTGAATCCAGGACCCCGTACTTTCTAGTCCCATTGTTCTCGTCGTGGCTAAAACTTTTGCTCCTCTGAATGAGAATTTCCTCCGCGTTTTTTTTTTTTTCAATTGTAAAAAACAATTAGCTGTCTCTATCACGACAAACTGATGGCAAAGAAGCCGCGCAGTTAATTGGAAACTGAAAAGTACACTTTTAATTGAAACATCTGACAATATTGATGATATGACATGGGCTTGGAAAACCACCCATGAGAACATCTTAAACGAACACCTGCCAGAAAGGATAGCTAAAGTTCGCTCCAACAGTTTACCATGGATGAACTCTCATATACGGAAAACTATGAAAAGGCGATTCAAAGCCCTCAATCTTGCAAAGGAAACTGGTACTAAAAAATCATGGGATGAATATCAAAAACTTAGGAATGAAGTTACTTATCTCCTGAGGACTGCTGAAGCAAATTACTGGAAAGAAAAGTTCGGACTTTTGGAGGCTGGTCGGAAAATTAACTAGGTGTTTAAGAATTATTATTGACAATCAGTTGTCTTGGCTTAGCCAAAATTTGTAGGCCCTTTGGCCAGAAAGTAATTCAGCTAAAAAGGCTCAAGTATTTAACAAAGGATACCTTACAGCCTATTCACTTTACAAGAATTATTACCACTGTCACTTGTTGCAATTTAGTTTGGGGTACCTGCTTATCTACATTATAGCATTAAGTTTGAGGTCTCCCGCTTTAACCTAGAGTGTAGTATCGCAGGCGGCTCATACAGGCCACTTAGTCTACACGCTAGAAACTCTGGGACAATGTCAGGCTCGGTTCCTTAGGACATTGAAAGCATGGCGGACATGTACAACCCGTTATTGACAAGTTGATCTATTAAATTGGCGACGAGGACGGGATATAATGCCAAATAAAGACGCACAAGAAGAAAACAATACGCACAAAAGTAAAACGAAAGTCCTGGCAACTGGTAAGGCGAGATTGGGCGCCATTAACCTGAAAGGGGAGCCGGGTCAACGCGAGAAAGCGTGGAAGTTATGGCAAGAACGATTTGAGCGGGCTATGCGATGGAGCGACACGGATAAGCTCGATCTGTTCCTGTTAGTGGGCGGAGAGGAACTCCTGAAATTAATCGAAACGTTACCGGAGCAGCCTACAAATTACGAGTCGCATATTCAAGAGCTAAACAACAATTTTGAGGCACGCGGAAACAATACCTTAGAGCTATACAAGTTCTTCAACATCGACTGGCCTACCGAGGTACCGTTCGAGGATTTTGAAACCAAATGCAGAGAACAAGGGCTACACTGTGAGTTCCCGATAACTATAGAAAATGCTACTGCTGGCAGTGGTCAAAACGAAAAATGGAGAGCTACGCAACGAATCGATCCGAAAGAATGGAGATCTGAAATTGGTGCGTGAAACTGCAAAGGCGTTGAAAATGGCTCAGCAAGGAAGAGAGATGATACAAGGTGACAATTCTACGGCCCAAGGAGGTGCACAGCCGAGTGCAAAGGACAGCAACGAGGTGAACAAGATCACCGGCCAGGACGGTACAGAACGAGGAACAACAGGCCCGAGAGCAGCACAGGCAGATCAACAACTAAGTTATATTACACTGGATGTGGAAACGACGCCCACCCAAAGGGAGTTCCCTGTCCCCCTTGGGGTAAGAACTGCCTCAGATGCGGAAAGAGCCATCATTTTGCTAGTGCCTGTCCCAGCAGAAAACCGAATATTTTTGGTAGGCAAGTCAGAGCTTTAGAGAGCGACCCGGACCCAAGCACAAGCCACCCAGAGGAGTAGATTGAGGCAACCGAAGAGGTCTACCAGCCCTGTACCGAGTAACGGGGGAAAGGTCATCGAAACCTACTGTGACGTTGCAGGTAAATACGATCCCGGTCACGTTACACCTAGACACGCAAGCAGACGTCACGGTCATCACAGAGAAACATTTTGAGAGTCTTAAAGGAACAAGCCGCCTCCAGCCGACAAAAGCTGTCATTAGGAGTTACTCAGGAGATGGACCAGGACCGGCCTTACTCTTACTAGGCTGTTTCACCAACTCTCTAAGCCGAAACCAAAAAAGCATCGTAGAAGTTGTGTATGTAGTCAAAGGCCAAGGGAACACTGCACTTGTAAGCCGCCAAGCAGGCGAAAGAATGGGCCTCATAGAGTATCACATCGAGCAGATAACCAAAGCCCCCTTCCCCAGCAATGGAGGTGGAACGACCAGAAATAAACAACTTGATCGCAGAGTATGAGGCTGTCTTTACTGGTATTGAAAGCTGAAAGGTGTGACTGTAAAGCTGCACGTCGTACCCGTGGCCCCAGGTGCTATTCAGAAACAAAGAAGAATATCCATACCCCTAAAAGAAAAGTTTGGTCAAATCCTGGACAGGTGGCACAATCTAGACATCATAGAGGATGTAGGAGACGAACCGACAGATTGGTGCAGTAACGTGGTACTCACTCCTAAGAACGACGGTGAAAGTGTTAGGGCCGGTCGACATGAACGATGGTTACATGCAGCTAGAGTTAGCAGAAGAGAGCAGGAAGCTGACAACGTTTTACACCCATCGCGGACTCAAGCGTTTCAAGAGGCTGCATTCTGGCCCTCGGTTCAACCTACGATCGGTGACATTCTTTGGCATGGTATTCTCTAGTGAAGGAATCTCACCGGACCCAAACAAGGTGGCAGCATTGCAGGCAGCAGGCCCGCCCCAATCTCAAGCAGAAGTGCGATCGTTCCTTTTCTTCGCCGGAGCTAATGCGGACTTCATGGAGAGTTTTGCGCCGATAACCGCACCACTAAGAGACCTCATCAAACAGGGGGCACCTTTACAGTGGACACCTGAGTGCCAGAGAGCGTTTGAGCAAACCAAAACGCTACTGTCAGGGGACACGGTAATTCGTACTTTGATCCCCATCGAAAGACCGAACTCATGACAGATGCGGGACTCCATGGTTTAGCAGTTACGCTGAAGCAGTATGACCCCCACGCAAGGCGGTAGAGACCGGTAACAGGGCTTTGACGGATACCGAGACCAGATACTCGCAGCTTGAGAAGGAAGCGAGAGCTGTTGAATGGGGCGCGCTCGTAATCCAGATTACGACAGATATTAGTTAGTTGCCACCCTTTCTTTTCTTTTATTGTATATATTTTCCTTAGTTAATCTTAGCAAGTCGATTGTATCTTATTTTTTAGAAAGTTATCTCTACAACAGTACTGTTATATATTCTCTGTAATAAGTCAAATATTTTTATTTAGTATATACTAAAACAGTGGATAGTGTTTTTCGCGCGCTCTGATTGGCTACTCAATCAGTGAATATCCTGTACTATTCACTGATTCACCTCCAGTTCCTCCGAGCGAGCGACCCCAAACTCGCGTAGGTTGCGAGCAAAATGCTTTCCCGGTTTGCTGCCGTAAAAAACTAAGAAATTTCACAACTAATCAAGCAAGCTATTTCCGAAATACATGAAGAAGGTGACGAAGTTCGGTTTGGAAGTTTTATCGGTGAAAAAGTTTTTTGTTTACAAATGCAAATTAAGCTTAAGTCTTGCGTTACTTTATTTAGTTGACTTGTTCATAAATAAGCTTAAAACTAAATTTAATAATCTTTTTGAAAGAATTATTTTAAATACAAACAGAATTCACAACTCCTTTTGAAGAAACTTTCCTGCAAGAGCTAAACAAAAGCCTTCAAAAGTTTTATTTGTCGCTAGGAAAAAGTGACGACCGCGGCCGTTAGGTCATCGCGCGCCAAAATTGTAATCGTTGGCAACAGTAAATGAGTTTAAAATAATCATTTTGTGCTCAATTATCTCACTGTTTTAGTATATACTAAAACAATTATTCACCTCAGTGTCGATGGCTAGTATTTACCTCGCCGCTTCGCGGCCTCGGTAAATATCCAATCAATAATAGCCCCCTCCACTTCGGTGAATAATTGTTATCTATTTATTTCTTTTTTTAGAATTACGATTATTTTAAAGCGCCATTGAGCTCACGGAAATGGTGCTATATAAATTCTTGTATTATTATTATTATTATTATTATTATTATTATTATTATTATTATTATTATCATCACTATTATTATTATCATCATTATTATTATCTACTTCTACGGCCTCAGAGATACGTTTGAGGTAGACACTGATCACAAACCCCTACTGCCTCTGTTTGCAAGTCACAAAGTCACTGCACCACTCCAAATTGAACGAATGAGAGTTCGCCTGCAGGGGTTTGATTACAAGCTCAATTATATACCTGGAAAAAAAGCAAAGGCAGAGACTAACGAAGCAGATTACAACTCCAGGCACCCAGAACCACTCACGACCGAAGACACCAGGGCAATACACCAGACAGAGCTTACTGTTCATGAAGATGAATAATTGTTTGAGAAGGACATCAGGCCAGTGGTGCAAGCGGCACCGTGACCAGATGCAGTATCATAGGATGAGCTGCTAGAGGAGACAATTCAGGACCCGGAATTCAAAGAGCTTAACAGTGCGATAGCGAGGGGGTACTTCACGGCACCAGAACGGCAAGCCCTTGGGCCCCAATTTGGCCCAGTCTTTACAGAGCTAGCAGTGGTAGGAGGATTGGTGGTGCGAGGGTCTCGCATAGTGGTACCCAGGTCACTTCGTAGTCCGGCTCGCTCATGAGCGACAGCAGGGGGTTACAAAAACGAAGGAATATCTCAGGACCAGGGTCTGGTTTCCAGGTTTAGACCTGATGGTGGAAGCCCACATTCAGCACTGCCATCCATGTCAAGTAGTGACGCCAGCGAATGAGCGCGAACCACTGCGGATGTCACCACTACGGAGTCAACCCTGGAAGAAAGTGGCCATAGACTTCTGGAGACCTATCAGCACAGGTGAATACCTTCTCGTTGTCATATGCCAACACTCACGGTGGGTCGAAGTAGAGTTTGAAAGTACCACCAGCGCCTGAGCAGTACTACCGAAGCTGGACCGCATATTCTCCTCGCTGGCAATACCGCTGATCGTCGGCAGCGACAATGGACCTCCATTCAACGGACATGACTTCCTGAACTTCAGCACGTATCTGGGCTTCAAACATGACCACAAGACACCCAAGAACCCTCAGGCCAATGACGAAGCACAGCAGTTTATGCGGGTGCTTAAGAAGCTATACCGCATATGCCAACTAACTGGGCAGGTCTTCAGGCAAGAAGTGCACCGACTTTTACGCTGCTATCGAGCAACGCCTCACGGGACCACCAAGCTAGCCCCAGCAGAACTGATGTTCCCTGGCCGCAAGTTTCGCACAAGGTTGCTGGTAGGAGTCATTCCTCGACAACCTGATTTTGAGGAACTGTTTCAGCGTGACCTCGAGAAGAAGCTGCAAATGAAGGAGCACGCAGACAGGAAGAAGAACGTGAAAACTTTGAATATACAGGTTGGCGATGCAGTGCTGGTGAAACAAGAACTCAGCAGCATGGCCTCATCACCCTATGAGGGAGAGCCGCTGGAGGTACAGTACAGAAAGGGAACTCAAGTTGTGGCCAAAAGGAGAGATGGCAGCACCGTCAGGTCGACGGCACACTTCAAGAAGGTACCCTACCAGACTCCGTAGGAGGCAGGCAGATGGAGGCTAGGACCAGATTCTGGTCACAATCCCAGCGCAAGGGAGCTAGCTACCAAGGCTGCAGGAACATCCTGAGAAAGTACGGTTACCCGAGGTGGAGCTCTCAGATCCTCCGGACAAAACGGAGCCACCCACAGAGTAATAATTATAAGTCTGGTTTAATAATAAAATCGTGGCGCTTAGAAATAAGCGAATTACGAAATTATTTTACAAAGATATTGATATTAGTAAAAAAAAAATAATCTAAACTAATTACATCGTCTTCAAAATTTGCTGGGCCTTACAATTAAGAGAAGATATAATACAATAAATTAGATAAAAAAACTAGAAACTAGAAATATATATCATGTTATACATTAAATTCCCATACCATGAGCATAAAAGCACATCGCCGGAAAAAAGGCTTCGTTTAAAGCGTTCAGTTTTGCAACTTATAAGGGATGGTCTGTCTTTGTTGCGAAGGGAGCGGCCGTGCGCCTGCGACCGAGTCGGTGGAACAAGATGGCGAAGACGGGACTCGGGCTACCTAGAGGAGGCACCTCAACCACCTCTGCCAGTGGTCGCATGCAGCTCTAGGCTACGTGGGAGCGCGGATGAGTATCTCAGGAGCAAATATCCGGACCATGTGTTACCGAACAGGATTCAGTGAACAAACATTCGTTACTCAGATGGACATAACTCTGCGTTGTTAGTTACTCACCTTATTTTCTTGACTCAGTTAACAAGCAGTCGTTTTTCAGATGGACATAAATTTGCGTTGTTAGTTACTTGCCTTAAGTTCTGTACCCTATAGTTATGGACCAGTTACCAGCTATGTTTGTCTAGGCTTTTTCTCTATTGCGGCTCATACGGGCCACTTAGTCTACACGCTAGGAACTCTGGGACAATGGCAGGCTTGGTTGCTTAGGACATTGAAAGCATGGCGAAAATGTACAACCCGTTATTGACAAGTTGGGCAGGAATTCATCAAGATATAGGGGAGCTTTGTTCTGAAACTCCATTCCAGACAATTTAAAAAGAGCACCAAGTTTAAACATTTTGAAAAAGCTTCTTAAGAAAAATAGACCCTTGTTCGTCAATATAAATTTCAACAAGATGAAATAGTACTTTAACTCTTCGTAACTTTTAGTCTTTCATCCTACTACTGTGTATATATTCTTTTCATATACCTATTTTCTGTATATTTTTTTATTTTATCTGTATATGATCAATAGATAATTTATCAGCAGATCCACATCAGCTTTATATTTTAGCTGCCTTTTAGCTTAACCTGCTTTACCAAATAAACTATGAATGAATGAATGATCAACATTTCTAAAGCATCTTTTGATGCATCATTTTCGATCACAAACTCGTAACCAATTGAATCACAGCTCCTTTGATCCAACGTTACAACCGTTGCATATTCGGAAATTTTCCGTTGTGTGTCCTGAATAACCAGTTCCCATTTGTATTTTGCCAGGAAAGCTTTTTCCTAGTTTGTTCTTGGCCTTGGTGTTCTTGTCATAATAGTTATCAGTTCCTGAGATGTACCTCGCTTGCCACCGTCATTCTGTGCCTTTCTTTCTGCTAATGAATTCAACATCATTAAAGAGACCACAGATGATCGTATTTAGGGATGTTGAGCATGACAGCCTTTTTCCTTTCTGTCACTGTAAGTTTTTTAGGGTCGGTAAGTATCGACGTGAACACAATTTACTTTTTTAGTTAAAACTGATCTGAAAGGAAAAAAAAGGTCAGAAAACTCTTAAATTGGTGAAAATGAAATAAACAACAATGTGAACTGCCAAATTAACTGAAGAAAAAATATCCTTCGCAATTGGGGTTAGTTGTCGTGTATAGCTTGTGTATGCATGAATTCTAAACTTGCTCCACCTACAATTCAAAGGCAAAACTTAGATTTTATTTAGTGAATATAGCTAGCCTGTGGAACAAGCGTTACTTTGTTTTTGCGGGTTTTCCTAAAAACAGGAAAATATTTCGCCCGTTATAAGTGCCAGGTGATCAGTTAGCTGTGATCTGACCTCCTTTTATACGAATTCCTGAG